CTTTGAGAGCAGATTTGACGCAATCCACCGTTAAACCCACATCGGAGAGGCGGACCTGCCATCATGCCGCTATTCCATGTAATCATCATGTGGGAGTCGACAACGCAATGACCCCACGATGTTCCAATCGGGAAGTGTTTTTGTGTTTTGTGCAGGTGCTGATCATTCGGTGACGAGACGGAACAAGCTCGGATGGATCTGAGACACAAGATGACATGCCGGACAAGGTAGATTGCAGCGTCGGTCTGCGTCGCTCACGTCACTTTCGGCCTGGCAGCGGCTGTTGCACAGAGGGCTACGGACATGGCATCACATTTCATGGCATCCAATCCGAAAAGCATTGTCGCCGTCGTCGGGGGTGATCTCGAGCCTTCGCCGTCGCCTATTCGGAGTGGGATGGGGGCCTGGAAATGCGAAAAAGGGGTGTGCCAAGGATTTTTGGGAATTGTAGTGCATTCCTAGGTAAGAACTGAGATCTCCTGTCGCAAGCTTAGGGGTAGTTGAGCAAGATGGTGGACCCGAGTTATATTGGACTTTGGGATACCGGGCTACCTCCGGTATGAATGTTGTCATCACGGTTCGTCCAGTATCTAGTAGATCGGTGGGCCAGTATGGTTGTCGCACTGTTTGAACACCTGTCGGTCTCTCTCGGCTTCGACTCGGGTTCGTCGGATAAATCCCGAAGTCCGATGCGCCTGGTGTTGCTGGCACTCTTCGCACGGTGTGGGGGGCCAATAGCGGGCTATGAAATTCCACGTTACCACTGTAAGCTGATGATATGGGAGGAGGAGATGGAAGGGGGGGGGACTAGTATCTATAACGACGAAGCCCGAAGATATGTAATATTTAGTGTTCTGAGTATCCGGGTTGTTTGGGCCCATGGGATCGTTAGTTATGGCCCAGTGAAAGTCCCCCACACACAGTCGGTCGTTCTCCATCAGACAGGGGAATTCCGGGTTTCTCAAGTTCCCCCGCCGTATTCACGATACTTCGGGTTCCTCAGGCTCTCACGATCGGTGATCCAAGAGGGGGGTTTTATAGCTATATGCGATTAGTGAACTCGATCTCCCGCATCCTCATAATGAGTTCGAGGTCGACTCATGCAGACATATGCGTACGTTGCAACTCGATTTTCTCGAGATCGCGGTCGTACGCGTGCGTGTACATGAGCGAAAGCGGATTAGACTCGGATTTCGCGTGTCGAGGTATCAGTTGTGTCCTACCAGCATGCAACTATCCTATCCATACGATTTCGGGTGGGATCAGTTATTACATTCACATCCATGCCATTGATGTAACGAAGAAAAACTTTAAGAGAAAAGGGGGGGGGGGGGCGGGGCAATTGCCCTGGCATCGAGGGTCACCACATCACATCATTCTCAGTGATCTGATGATGATAAAAAACTAACGATTAAACCCAAACATCCATAGCGAGTGTTTTTAATCAGACCCGGGATTTTTACACGACGCATATGGATACTAGAAAGTGACGAAATTCGAACTAAACAAGCGTTACAGAACAGGATTAAAAGTCCGAAAAGATCACTCGAGGAGGGTTCACATCCATTCCATGCATACAAACGAGGCAAAAATGACAAAGGAAACACGAAACGATTTACAGGGAAATTCCAAGATGGCCGCAAGAAGATCGGTCTGAGTAGACATCAAAATTATACAGATAATTGGAAGAAAAGACCTCATCCCACACACAGCTGCTCTCTCTCTCTCTCTCTCTCTCTCTCTCTCTCTCTCTCTCTCTCTCTCTCTCTCTCTCTCTCTCTCTCTCTCTATTTGCTCTACTCCCCGATGCAGGCAGTCCGTCACCGCGCATGAACACAGAGTTGTTACCCCGCTTGGTTCGAGCATGGAAACCAGGTTCGCTCGTGCGCCACGATTCGTCGCAGCCCGCATGTCAACCCCGCACACCCAACACCAGCTCGTCGGATCGCCCAACCCTCTTCGTCGACTTGCCTCTCCATCTGAGTTGTTAGCCGACCCTCACTGATCGCGCTAACTCCAAAGTTCATAAAGAGTAAACTAATTGCGCTTGCGAAATTTATATCATGCACGCTTGGTACGGGATTTAACCCAAGAGGTCAAGAGGAGAAGAGAGGAAGTGCCTACGTCTGCATGGCCAGGCCGCGGCGTGGGGGTCATAGCCGCACTCCACACATTCATCCGGTCGTACAGGCGTTCAGGTTAATTAGAACAAAGTATTAAGTATGAAAGACAAAGAAGAAGAAGGTGGGAAAACATGAGGAAATCAAGAAAGAAGAAAGATAATGTTACAATCACACCCGCCAAAAGCGACAGTTACACAAGATTAAGGGCGCGATCCAGTCTGAGCCCAGTTCCTAGCGCAGCAAGATGTGCGCAAGTGAGAAGCGTGGCGCAACAAAATTCAGAGTGCCTAAATTTCTAGTCTAAGTCCTAATTTCAAAAGAAAATTTCAAAAATCCAAAAAAAAAAACAATTCCGCGAGCCCGTGGGAGCTCGACATCAGTTGAAAATTCAAAAACAATATTCTCACGCGATGATCGCGCCAAAAAATCCTAATGCTCACAACAGAACACGAAAGAAGTTATGGCAACTGTTGTCCATTGCCCTCGCTGAGGTGCGGTTTCTCAATCGTCGGCGCAAGACTGTCCCGACACCGACCCGACTAACTCCCACAGAAAACAAAAAGAAACGAGGGTATTCATGCAACTTGCCCGACCGACCCATCTTTCCGCAGCTCACCCCTCCGACCCCTCCCATTTCCCCAAAGAAGCGTCGTGGAAAAAGTAGCGCGGTTACGAAAGACATTTCATCACATATGTGACGCCTAAGGGGTTCAATCCCGTGCAAGCTCCTGCTTGCACCAATATCTCTTCAAGGTTAGGAAGAAAAAAGAAGAAGGACTCATTATTTCGCACGTGTCATTACCGTAGGATAAGAGTGTGGAAGTCATCCTGCCAGTGCCGTTACGCAGAACGTGAACGGCACCGGTCACTTGAACATGACCAGTCGTTCGTTTTGTGTTTTTTATGTGACCGGGCAGACCATGAAAGAGTGTGTTTTTTTTTTTTTTTTATTTTTTAGGTCTCACCCAACAAACGTAACCTCAAGCCCGACAGCGTGATCACATTGAAAAAAAAAAAAAAAAAAAGAATTAACCTGTAAAATATCAAATGAAAATGCTTATTTTGACTAGTTGAATTTTGTTTTTTCCTTTGTAATTAAAAAAAATATTATTGTGAAAAAAAGTTTGAAAAAATTATGGGGGTTACCCTTCGATGACCCCCACCCTCCTACAAAAAAGTACGGGCGTTCAGGGTCCCGTACAAGGTCCGAACCCGACGGCGTTCGGCCCCTGCCTGGGCCTAAAAATAACTTTTTTTTTTTGAATTTTTTTTTTTGAGTTCTCTATGACATGACGTACATGCCTGTAGATTGTCAAGTCATTTGGACAAGCCTAATAAGAATTAAAAATCTCCAAAGATGGCGGTGTCTAAACGTGCTCGCCCACGGATTTTTTCTCTTTTTACTTTTTGTTTTCACTTTAGTTCAGGGTCTAAACAATTTTATTAATTTTTGAAACTTTTTTAGCGAGTTTTGTATTATGTGAAGTATACATCTGTAAATTTTCAGGGCATTTAGCTTTTAAAAAAAATAAAAAATCGCCAAAGATGGCGGTGTCGAAAACATGCCCGCGCACTCACTAAATTTAATTCCCTTTTTATTTTTATTTATTTTTATTATTAGTATTTGTTTTCCGTATTTTATTTTTATTTGATATTTGGTAAGGAATTCGGATGTAATGTTCAGGCAAATCATGTTTAATTTATTTTTCTCCATAAGATATTGTTTTTCCAGATTTTTTTGATGAACTTTTTTTTTTTTTTTTTTTTTTTTTTTTTTCTGCGTTTAGCCTGAACGGCCGAACGCATCCCCAAGGGGTCCCATACGTTCGGGCGTTCGGGTCAGGGCGTTTAGCCCGTCCCGAACGCCGGTTACCCTGTATGTATATATTTTTCTCCGGGGCCACTTAATATTTGTGTGTGAACGTGTGTCTGAACGTATGTGTGTGTGTGTGGGTGTGTGTGTGTGTGTGTGTGTTTGTGTGTGWRYGTGTGTGTGTGTGTGTGTGTGTGTGTKTGTGTGTGTGMRTGTGTGTGTKTGTGTGTGTGTGTGWRTGTGTGTGTGTGTGTGTGTGTGGGTGTGTGTGCGTGCGTGTGTGCGCGCGCGCGTGGTGGGTGGCGAGGGATGGGGCGACCCCTCTCCCACCAATCAATCAATCAATCGATCAATCAATCAATCAATCAATCAATCAATAAATCAACGGAAAAAAAAAAAGAAACCTATTTTTTTTTCAATTATCTTCACTCACTGCCAAACCCCCCTACCCAATTTTTTTTTCTTTTTTTTTTTCTTTCAGGGGGTGGGGCTGAGGTTGCGCTGCCCCATGGCACTTCCCAAATCCCCAACCCCCTCCCCACTGGCCGCCATGCGACTGCAAAGTTGTGCGGCCGCACGGATACGTCCACGGGGGTCGCGGAATTTGGCCGCGACCGCGGACTTGACCACGCTTGGCCGCCGCCGAGGAAGATTCATAGTCCGCCTTTAATCTTTCGAGGGAGGAGAGTAAGGGAGTCAGAATACAGAGGCGGGGGGTGGGGGATGTTTACTTGGAAATGCGGGCAAGAAGCTCGCCACCCCTGCTACCGTCCTGGGAAGTTCAAGGTACCTAATGGTGCGGTGTATGCGCGGGAAACGATGGCTGCTATAGGGGAGAGAAGCAAGGTTGTGGGATAGAGAGTGGAGAAGCTGCGAAGCAAGGCCGCGAGGAATCGCTTGTGATCTGCACACATAGGAATAGTTCTTGTGATCCCGCCACCCAGCGCTGAAAAGAAAGACGTGAAGGCAAAAAGATGGGGAGACACACTTAGTAGTGGGATGTGGGTACAATATGATGGCGAGGCTAGTAGCGTAGAGTTGGCAGAAGATGGAAGAGGGGAAGGGATTTTGGGGAAATGCGAGCGGGGTTTCGATTTTCCAGAGTGTAAGGTAATCAAGGGAACGACGGGATAATAACAGGGGACGTAGCCCGATGCCCCACATCGGCACGTGCTCGAACTAAGGGCGGGGGAAGGGGAGGGAAGCGGCTCCGTTGCCTCCGCGTCGGCGCGCTCGAAGTCTCTACAGCACGGTGCTCATCTTCCTCCGTCGGCAGCTCCGGATCTCGGGTCGGATCGATCGAAATTCGCAAATCAGTTCCCACCAACTGCTCTAGTGGACACTTTCCTTCGGCTCTTTCTGCGCTCCACCGTTCCACTTCCGCTGGGTCTTCTTCCTGTGTCTCCGCCTGTCCCGCCTCTTCCTCCTCACTTGCTTCCTCTTCTGCGTCTTCTTCTTCTCCTTCGCTTATTGCCCTCGACTCATGCTTATGCTCACTATAATACTCGTCCTCCTCGGAGGTACCTTCCGATTCGTCCTCCTCGTCTTCGTCGTCTTCTTCCTCTTCTGACGTTGGCTCACCTCGATCAAAGAAGAGAATATCGATTATCTTTGCGGGGCTTAGGTTATTACTATGTGACGGGTAATTACAATTGTCCCAATCACCTTCCAAGCATGCCGACCACTGAAGGTACGGCGTCAGGCTGCGCGAAAGAATATGCGGCGCCGAACTCTCGTCGCAGTGTGAGATGACGTCGACTGGTAGATCGTCCGACAACTGCGTCAGGAGGATTACAAGCTCCCTATGATCGGCTGTTGATGTCCCGCTTCCACCAATCATAAGATAAATCCCAGCAGATCTCCCTCCACCTCCGTTCTCCAAGCTTGAATGATGAGTAACTCTACGTCTTTATTCACGGCGTGGTGCTCATTGTCCCGGGTCCACTTCAGCTCGATCTTAACTAAACACTGGGACAGAGTCGCATAGGTTTGCCGCCACCCTCGCCACTGTTCGGGCTTAATGAGAGAAATCGTCAGCAGTCGCACGCAGAAAGAGAGACGAGGATGGAGCGCCGACTGCCAAAAGATAGGGAAAACAGAGGGAAGGCTGAAGGTAGAGAACCTGTGACAGTTCATTGAGGACGCGAGAAAGCGATGAGCGTAGGGAGAGATATCACGGCATTCTGTCGGAGAGCACTGATAACACTGAATTCGTGAAAACCTTACAAAACCACAAAACCATACATTTTTTATAGAATGAAAAAGTAAAAGCTTAGTGTTTCCCGACAAAGAAGGCAAAAAAATTAGCAAAAAGTCTAGCGATTCTCAAAATGTGCAAGAAACTATTTTCCAATAAAAAACATGTTATAAGACTATAAGTCGTTTAAAGTAGATTGAAAAAAAACATAGGTCAAACAAAACAATCTTTAAGGACTGCAAGGCGAACTCGAAAGACGTTAAAAAAAACAGTTTCATTGAATACTCATTTATAGAACTATAAGTCATTTTCAGCAGTTTGGTAAAAACCAAGTTATGCGAGAACTAGTTTATAGAACTATAAACTAATCTAATCTATTTTCAAGTTTAGTGCAAAATCCTTGTCAAAAAATATATGTTATGTAAAATAAGAATTCAAACAATTTTTGCCTCGAGGACATCTTCAAATTTTTAGCCAACCACGATTTAAAATAAAAACATAGAAAAATATTTTAATAAAAAATAATAAAAAACAATATATTTGTTAATGTACGAGGGAACATATCCAAGAGAATGTATTCATGAATAGAAAAATATATGTGAATGTTTAGGTTCATTGTGCTCTATACCTTATAGAACTATAAATTTGATTTTTTTAAATAAACAAAAAATTGAGATATTTTGATTCTTGAACAAATGATGCTTTGCAAGGTAGTGATTTTTTTGTAAAAAGGCATGCTTCTCTCCTCACCACTTCCGGTGGTTTTGAAAAAGTACTTTTCTATTGATTTTTTGCGGTTGATTTACTTCACATAGAATGTTGTTCATGTAGGAGGCTTGATAAATGTCCTATCAGAATCTTTAAAAAATTTCGTGCAAACCTAACAATTTTTTTATTATAGGTTTTCACGAATTCTATATCGGATGCCGTCTAGGTCAATACTATTAGTATAGACGATGTTTTCCCCCGCCACGCAAGTCGCTGACTCCAGGACCTCGCCAACTCTTCTCCCCAATCTCGCAACGAGACGAGGATGCTCGGATGCGCCATTGGATCCACCGTAGTGATGTCTCTGCTGAAGGAGACAATTGTCGAAATGTGGCTGGTCCCTGGCGCCGAGAGCCGCAGATAGGCCGATGCTTCGGCGAACACTTGCGCCTTGCTGTTGGGTATCACGAATCGAAACTCTGCTGCTGCATGCACGCTTGCCGTGCTGAAAAACTGAGCAAATCGGATGACAATGAACTTAACATCATCACGAATATTGGACCAATACCATTTATTCTTGTCAATAACCGACTCCTAATTCGTACGGCAAAGTGAGCTGCAGTCTCTTCGTGTGTGCGGACTTAACCAAGTCATACCTCATGAACGGATGTGGTAGCTGCAGTCTCCTCGTGTGTGCGGACTTAACCCAGTCATACCTCATGAACGGATGTGGTACAGACATCCAAATCCCACTACTGTTGGTTGTTAATTTTTCCAATCGTCCCTCGTTCCATCGGTAGTCCCGGGCCTTCTCATGGGCCCTTCTACGGTACTCCTTGGTAAAGTTTTGGAGGGGGTTCTCGACCAATGTGGCTATCAAAATGACGTTTGTCCATACCTCCGACCTTCTAAACCTACGGGTCTTGTCTAAGCCTTCCTACGTGGGTTCAAGAAAGCGGGCTTCAGTAGGAATTTTATCGGATCGACACAACGGACACAACCAAACCTTATCTGCGTTTTCGTACTGAATACAAGAGCCATGGGCCCTGGAAACACATTGTCGGCAATCTACCCATTCGACGTATCCCTCCTCGCTAGGACGCATAGAGACTGAGTAGATACGCGAGATTGCCTCGCGGAAATAGCTAAACCTATCAGGTAAGGAGAGTAGAGATGAGGACGAGAGGGGAGAAAGACGGCTTCCAAAATCACCTCCGTCACCCATTGCTATGTGTCACTTCTAACTACGCGGAAGGATTGCCACTTGTCCGTACTCAAGCCTTTCACTTTGCGTTGGCTCCTTCCACAGTGTGATTTCTTCTCCCTTCGGCACCTTGCCTGGCCGGTGCAGACGTGTTAGTCCGTCCGCATTCCCGTGTTTCTCTGTCTTACGGTGGATGATGTCAAAGTCGTACTCTTGCAATCGTACCGCCCATCGCCCGATCATTCCCGTGTAGTTAGTCAGCTTCCTGAGCGCCAGCAGCAGTTCATGATCGGTGACGAGAAGAAACTTCTGCCTATACAGGTACGGGTGAAAATGGAGGATGCCCCAAACCACCGCGTAACATTCTCTCTGGGGCGCCGAATCATTATTCCACTCGTCTGGTACTGTTTGGGACGCGTACTCGACGACGTGTCCGCGACCGTCCTTCCCGTTCTGTTCCAAAATGGCAAAAATTGCTTCCGGCTGTCGGTCTGTGATAAGAATGAATGGCTTCCTAAGGTCCAGGCGAACTAAGATGGGTGCAGAGGGTTGGGCCTCCTTCAAAGTGGAGAAGGCCCGTTCACATTCCCCGTCCCAGGTTAGCGGTTGGTCCTTGCGCAGAAGATTCGTTAGGGGTCGTGCAATTGCTGCAAAGCCTTTGATAAATCGGCGGTAGTAGAACGTCAACCCCAGAAAGGCTCAAACGTGTGTCAGCGATGTGGGCATTGGCACATCTCGAACTGCGTTCACCTTCCTCAAGTCCGGTCGTAAACCTCCCCGAGTCACCATGTATCCGAAAAACGAGATTTCCGAAAGGAAAAACTCGCTTTTCTCCAGGGCAATTTTAAATCCCGCATCGCGCAGCACTCCAAGTGTCCACTCGATATGCTTGGCATGCTCGTGAAAAGAGTCCGAGTATACCAGGATACTACGAAACACCCGCGGACGCATCCACGGGGTCGAGCTCGCTCCGGTCGTGGTTGGGTGCGGCCGCGACTTTCAGGGATTTGTTTTGATTTTAAAACATTCTAAAAAAAAAACAAGAAAAAATATCGATTTGTAGATCTTTTTGAGATCTAAATTGTGCAAATTTTTATTTTATTTTTTGACTTCGTCTCCGAATTTTAAAAATTAAAAAACTAATTTTCCTAAGGCAAAAGCTGTTTGTGTTTTCTTTTTTTCAAGAAAACACTTATGTGTTTTTTTGTTTTGAATTCAGTAACGTTGTTTAATATGACCCCGAGGCAAAAGTTGTTCACTATCATTTTCTGCAAAACATATTATTTTTTCAGAATTTTTAAAATTCTTTTTTTTTTTTTCTTTTTTTTTTTTTCATGGTTGTGGGGCGCGGCCTAGGCCGGGCATGGCCTCCCGCGGGGGGGATTCATAGCCAGAATATCGTCCATATACACCATGACACAAACATTTACCATTCCTTGTGTCTGCCGGGTGTTGTTAACGAAATTCTGAAAAGTCACGTTCATCGCTATTATTGAACGTAGCCGGAGGCCCGGAGCGTTGCAAATTCTTATAGGACATCGAACCCATTGCCACGTGCCTTCAAACAATACGAATGCCGTTTTAGGACGATCCTCTTCCTTGACCAATACGTGGTGGAACCCGTAGCGGATGTCGAACTTGCTAAAATAGTTAGCACACTCAATCACACCCAGCAAATCATCAATCGGAGGGAGGGGGTACACATCTTTGATCGTGATATCATCCAATTTTCGGTAATCGATGCAAATGCGAATGGATCTGGTCTTTTTAGGGACTACAACCACGGGGACAGACCATGGTCCTGTAGCGGGCTCAATCCATTTGTTGGCCTCGAGTTCCCTTATCCGCTTCAAAGTCGTTCGTCTTTTAACCAACGAATATCGATACGGTTTGCAGTGAATCGGCGGGTGGGTGTCAATCTCGATCTCGTGATGTATGACTAGGGACAGTCCGATGTCCGCATCCTCTACACAAATTGCGTCCTGATATTCTGTGTTAGAAATGATTTCGTATATTTTATCTAGCACATACTCCGGCACGTGAAGCTTATAGTGACTGTCCTGTATCACGACCGGTAACTGTTTCATCTGGGTACTTGGGGTGCACAGAGCTACGTTCTCCATTGCCGCCGACGGGAGATCGCTTGCTGCAGCTCCGATTGGTCGACGATCCTGCCTACGCGCGTGCTGGATTTCGGCAGTACGACGCTCGGAGGGACGGCAGGTGGTGGAAGTCCGCTGGTGATAGCGACGAAGTACTCTCTCGTATCGTGGACGATGTTGTACAATAGCTTTGTCATCGACCCAAAGGACAGCACGATCGATGAGGTCTTTTGTCATCACACTCCTACGTACCCGGCTTGAACCGGGCTCGCCGGCCTCCCGATCGCCTTTTTTCTCGCCACGCGCCTCCTCTCCCGCCGTCGCCACAATTGATTCCTCCTCCCTCGCCATCGCAACGGCGGCCACAGTGCCTGAACCACCCTCCCCCGCAGCAGCTGCCTCCTCGGCCCCAACTGCGCGCGCGTCTGCCACGGCTTCCCCCTCACCGCCGCGTTGGACGGACCCTCCATCACCACCCTCGTTGCGCTGATGTGGCTGAGACGGCGTGGCGGGCAGCGTACCCGAGACAAGCCTTTCGTTTGCAGCAGCGCGTGCCATCACCGCCGGCAGTGGGGTCGTCGTTGTACGAATGCGAATGCGACGTCTCTCCAAGGGCTCGTCATCATCGCCACCAAGATCGACGACGGGAGCCTTCTCTGTCCGCGTTTCGCGGCCACGCAGCTGCTACGCCTCGGGTGGACGGGTCAGCATCCTCTGCGAAGCGGTGTGATC